TGGTTTTTCGAGACAGGGTTTTTCTGTTTAGCTTTGCGCCTTTCCTGGGACTCACTTGGTAGCCCAGGCTGGCCTCGAACTCACAGAGATCCTCCTGGCTCTGCCTCCCGAGTGCTGGGATTAAAGGCGTGTGCCACCACCGCCCGGCTAAACATCAGAATTTTGACCTTTGAGTACATATAATCTTGCAGGAATTCAAGGTTAGGAATCTAACATGTGCAGATTTTCCCTAAAAATGATGAGCAATGAAGACCCTGTTGTAAATCATACTTGTTTGACTTAATGTGCTTGTAAACAGTCTCCAGTCCGTGACCCATTGGCTGTCTTAAACTTCTTGACTTGGTATACTAGGTACCCATCTGTAGTTAACCAGATGGACTAGGATGGGGAAATAATAACAAAGACACCCAATTTTTGGACCTGTGAGATGAGCCATGGCCCAGATCATTTGTGTTACACACATCATTGATAATCCACATGTAATCTTGTGGAATGCATTTGGTTAAGTCCATTGTGCATATAGAAAAACTGAGATACCAGAAAGCTAAGTATATTTTGCGATATCATGTGTCAGGAAGCTTTGGGTGCACATCTGATGGAGTCCAAAGCTCTGGGTTTTGAGCTGATTCAAATCTTCTGAAAGTTCCAGTAAGGAGAAAACCACCCCTTGCCCAGGTGAAATGGTTTAGCTCTATCCTTGCTTTTGAAAATTCCTTGAGGTTGAGTCATTGAGATCTGAATGTTCCCCAAGAGTGTCTTAACCAGGACCTATTCTTCTCCATTTTACTTACCATTAGTTGTAGAGAGCTGAACATTTGCATTGTTTGAACTGGATCCTTTTTACACTTCACTTGCTTTAATAAAGCTGTCTAGGGATTTGGAAATTGAAATTGGTCACCCAGCATTCTCTGAGCACTGACTTTGAAATGGCTTCATTTTTTCCCTATTAACAGCACTCTGGAAGGCTGAAGGTTCCTTTCCTGTCAGGAAAGGTCTTGTGAACTAAGAATGAGCTGTCTTTTTGGATATGGCCTGATCCTAACATCTAGAGAATTAGCACCTTACCAAATAGATAGGTGTACTGGGGGCAGTTTACTAAGACACAGGCCTAAGATTCACTCCACACAATTCACAGTTACAAAATCTTGGGCTCCCTGCTGGCTTCCTAGTCCTGCATAAACCTATATTGGTTCAAAATGAAAAGGTACTTTTTAAAAGGTCAATGTTAAATAGGGCCACACTATCTTGGAATTAGTGTGGGAGTTTTCAGATTTTTGCACATAGGTTTTCAGTCAGACTGGAAATAGAAATTATTTAGCCTTGATAGACTGCCTTGCCTGGCTTTGCCTTCTTCTCCTTCTCCTTGGTCTCTTTCTCCCTCCTTCATCTCCCTCCTCTTTCTCCTCCTCCCTGTCTCCCCCTCCTTCACCTCCCCTCCCCTCCCCTCCTCCTGCTCCTCTTGTGGAGACAGTCTCACGTATCCCATGCACACACCTTGAGCTCTCTGTGTAAGAAGAGAATTACAGAGTTCTATCAACAGACCTGCTTTTATTCGATGCTGTGAATCAAGCATAGGATTTCATATATACTAGGAGAGCTCTCTGCCGCTGAAACTGCATCCCTAGCCATCACTCTTGACTATTGCATATATTTTACATTATATATATATATATATATATATATATATATATATATATATGCCTGGAAAACAAGAAGTTAATCTAAAGTGCCATTTCTGGGTAGACTTAACATTATGTGACACTGAGGGTACATAGAGACATCAGTATTTATAGATGAACTCTCTCCCTCTTTCTCCTTTCCTTCCTTCCTTCTTTTCTGTCTTCTCTATTGTCATTGCTGTTGTTTGAGACAGGTTCTCCTGATGTAGCCCAGGTTGGCCTTGAACTTAGGATGGCCCTCCTGTCTGGGCTTCCCAAATGCTGGGATTACAGACAGCATGTGCCACCACTTCCAGCTAGAGTTGATCTTCCAGTGCTTGTCCAGAATCTTGGGGTAGCATAGTATTCTGAGTTTCTAGTTCCTGCCTTTTGCTGTTTGTTCGATAATAACGATCTCAGACAAGCTTCTTCTTAGTTGTCCCTTATACGACAGCTTTATAGTTGTGAATTAAATAGTAAACTACAAGGGTAATTAGTCAGTTTGGAGGGGAATGGACACAAGAGATCGGTGATAACCATGACTATTTATTTGTCCTTAAAATAAACTGAGCATTGTGAAAATGTGGACTTATTACTTTAGTGTTCTTGGGATAAATAGCTATGGCTTAGGTACCATTCAAGCATGTATTCATTTGTATACTGTATAATTATTTGGGTGTTTTCCATACACCGGACATGTTTCTAATCACTAGGGATTGAACAGAACATGCACACACACACACACACACACACACACACACACACACACACTTTTTCTCTCTCAAAAATTATTAAGTGTATATTCTAAGGAATAAGGGAAACCTAAATAACAACAACATAAAGAATTGAATAGAGATTTTGAAAGAAGGTGATAAAATTTATAGGTAAAATTAGATTAAGGGGGAAAGAGTAGGGATCGACATGGAATAGGGGAAAGGAACTAGTGTTTTAAGATTTGAGGAAGTCTCTGATAAGCTTCATTTGAACAAAGATAAGGGGAAAATACAAAAGAAAACCAAGTGGCATCCAGAAACAGGATGTTTCCAGAGGCAGGAGTGTGTCGCATTTAGTGATTCAGAGAGGCCAGGGGGACTGAGCTGGAGGAGGTGGAAACAGGAGACAGGACTAACAGAAGGCATGAGGGATGTGGAAATACATTGTGGTGTAGGCAGAGGGAGGCAAGAGTTAGATCACTGAGAGGGAGCTAAGATGCCCCAAGGTGGTATGGGTGGGTTTAACAGGAACATGGGTTTATTTGAAAAGGTCCACTCTGGCTTCTGAATCCAAGGAAGGAAGCACGGGTACTCTTCCTAGGAAGCCACATGGTAACTGAAATAACAGCAGTGGTAAGGTGAGGACCTCAGTGGCTCAGATAACTGTGGCCGCAGGAAAGATGATGAGGCACAGGAGGCTCCTGCAATTTTTTTTTTTTTTTTTTTTTTTTTTTTTTTTTTGAGGTAGGGCTAACAGATTAGCTGAAAGTCTGGCTATAGAGTACAAAAGAAATAATGGGGTCAAATGACTCCAAGTTTTATGGGCTAGGAAAATGGAAATATGGTGATGCTGTTGTTTACAATGGAAATATCCATAGGAGGAACAGCTGCGTAGAGAGATAAGAGAACTTCTGTTGGGAACGTACTCAGTTTGAAATGCGTGTTTACCATGATTTCACGTCTCTGCTGAACACCAATGCAAGTCAATGTTGGCAGTGTTAGATGTCTTTAGTTAGATAACAGAGGGAAACATGGTACTTACCAAACTGTATCCTTCTTCCTTAGTCTTTGGATATCCTCTTCAATAAATTTTAGAGTAGTACTGTAATAATTTAAATTTGTAAAACAAAACCAAAATGTGAAATGTAATTCTAGTCCTTCCTAATGCCAAGTCACTTATTTTGTTTACATGTCAATCTTTATTTCTTCTCCTTGCATTCCTTCTCAGTGGTATTTTTGAGCCACTTCTTTACCAAAATGTGGGCAGAAGGAGGAAATAAGAAAAGAGATAAAGGATTTGAATAAAGCATGTTGAAAGGAACGAAATGCTGTTTGATTTCTCAGTAGAGTAATGTGAAGTTGGATGAACGTCTGATTCAATTAATGTTTAAAATGACCTTTTGTCCATCTGTTCAGACACCGATTTCTGCAAACAGGCTCAAATATTTATGCATGTCTCACTTCTGGAGTGGGATTAGTATCTACCCCAATGCCACTTGGCTACCTAGGCTACTTCCTGAAGAGTGAGGGATTTTTTTTTTTCAGTTCTCCCTTGGTATCTTCGGGGTGTGGGTGGTTCCAGACCCCTCGCTGGAATCCCTAGGCTCTGTAGATGGAGAGGTTCAGTTCCTTCATAAGAAATAGTGTAGTGTTTCTATACAACCTATGCATGTCTTCCATAATACTTAAAATCAATGTAAATGCCCTAGAAATATTGCTGTGCTGTTTAGGGAACAATAACAAGGAAGAAGTCTCTACACGTTAGGTGCAGGTGTCATTGTTTTTCCCCAGAGAGTTTTGATCCAAGGTTGGTTGAATCTGTGGACTCAGGGCCCTTGGACACAGGGGCCACCTGTGTGATCTATTTCACAGCTGCTCCATATAAGTAAAGATGCTCCCTTTACACCAAGGGAGAAAAGGAAAAGGGCCAGACAGACCGAGAAAGCAGTGTAGGGTGGAGGAGACAAAGAGAAAGACACATGGCTTCCATGTCTTTTAAATGACTGACGGGTACACGGCTAGAAGGGGATGCAGTTCAACAGGCACACACGACAGTCGAGAGACAAACTGATGAATTGCTGTCCTACAGAAGCATTCCTGGTGGGGACTGAAGCTTCCCAGGCCTTGGACACTAACATAGGTCACATCAAGTGGGACGGACGGACGGCCAAGGCTTGACAGCTGCCAACTGACAAACATCCCCAGATGGCCTTGATCCCTCCAGCCCAGACCTTTGATCACAGTCCGCCTTCACATTTCAAGAAATTGTGGTTACTGATCCCACCAACCATAGCTTGCCCATCAGTGACTAACTCAGACGCTTCTTATTTTTCTCCCTTTGGGGTATGTGTGTGTGTGTGGCGCACAGGAGCATGGGAGTGAATATTCAGATATGTGAGGGTCCATGCGCATGTCCGTGCTCCTGCACAGATGTGCACATGTGCAGAGTCCCAAGTCTTCTGCTTATTTGCCCTCCACCTTATTCATTGAGTCGGGGTCTCTCCAGTAAACCCAGAACTCTGCAATATGGCTAGTCTTAGCTAGCCAGCTTACCCTAGGGATCCCTGTCTCCTCCTTCTGAGCTCTAGAATTGCAGGTGGCCACCATGCCCAAGTAACATTTGCACAAATGCATTTAAGCAGTGCTCGTGTTTACAACACAAGTGTTTTAACCACTGAGCCACCTCCCTGGTCCACTTAGCAGGCATTGCTTCACTTACCATTGGACTATCCAAGAGTGCGGATTCTGGAGCTTGTGTCTCACCCACTACCCTCTTTTCCTTGCAGCTGTTTTCATAGGTACTTGCACTGTAGGCAGAGTAGGTCCTTACACCCTCATCACTCTCCTGAAAAACACCAACATCCTTATCGTCTTTAAGACAGATTACAAACAGCCATAATGGGTAAGCTGGAGAAGGGTAGACGAGCTACTAAACTGGCCACTGGCCTTGGGCATAGGGAATCACGGGGTACGTGAAGAGGATCCAATCTCACGATGGGACATGCTTCATACTGTCAGAGCACCGTTTGGCTACGATAGAATTCACCAGATTCCATATTTGCAGATTTTCAGGGACTTTGTGTCTCCATCGATGAGGAGGAAAACTGTAACAATCACATTCTTGCAGAACAAAATGTATAGCAGTTTGGGTTTTCAGATTGTCTGATTTCATGCACTACTGTATTTAGTGTTAAAACGTATTCCTCCTCTAGTACCAGTTAGTTACACTGTGAGAATGAAGGTGGGGGAGGGGAAGCTGGGGAGCCCTGAGCCTCCTAATTCTTGGGGGATTGTTGGGTTGCAAGTATGGGCACTTCTTGCTGTTTCTCTCCCTTTAGTTACCTGGCCCTGGCATCTCTCTTGTTAGGAGAGGTCACCTACTTGGCCTCCATACTAACAGATGTTTTGAAGTGTGGCCCAATAGTTGACGCATGAATCACAGTTCCTTTCCTTAGATCTTTTAGTATTCAGCATTTCCAGAGCAATGGGGTGGGGTGAGGCCAAGGATGAGAGGTTGGCCCAGTGCCCCTTCCGCCTGGGATGATTGTGACTACCATATCAGCTTTCTTCTGTGCTGTTCCCTGGCAACCTCATGCTTTCTGGGGTCCTATTCATGCTAATATGTGCCAAAGTAGTCCTAGATATAAATAGCCATCAAGCAAGCTTGTCAACGCTGGCTTTACACCCTGAAATCACAGCTCTTCTTTCCTACTGAAACGCTCTTTTTTCTGCTCAATATTTTGGTTCTTGACAAAAGGAAGAGACTGTTCCCACATGAGCATAGACAGGAAGAGAGTGAATATATGTTTAGTGATAGTTATTTCTGATGCTAATTCTGTACCTAGGATACCTGATGTAGTAACATCCCAAAGTCCAGGGAAGAGCCGAAGGTGGGTGGAAGGTGAAAAGGATAAGAAAGAATGATGAGCAGAAAAGATGCATGGCATTCAGATATGGTACCCATGTTTTCTGACTTCAGTGAGAAGAGACCGTATTAAATGGGGAATAATCTAGAGAGGAGCAAATGAAGCTAGCGAAAGTGTCCTTGGCGTGCATGTCTGTTCTGCAGATTTCTCTGTGTGCTTTAGAAAAGAAAGCCCCTCATACGTTCACACCACTGGAAGTTTGCCAAAGTCTCATCTTTGCCAGTCCGCATCTCTTAAAATGTCATCTTAGGGTACATAAGTTGACAAATATTTCCTTTAAAAATGCTACCTTTTTAATGGCATATTCAGAGACATCCTAGAAGACTCTGTTGGATAGGAAATAATGGTGATAATAGCAAATCCGTGTTTGTTTGTTTGTTTGTTTGTTTGTTTGTTTTTTATGTTGTCTGCCCAAAATAAGACGAGTTTTATATGCATTGTCTCCTTTAGTTGTCACATAATTGCATTTCTCAGAGATGCTATCATTGTCTTAACAGAGAACAAGTCTAAGCCAAGAGAAGCTATGTGTCCCCAGCAGCACAGTGTTAAGATGGCAGTTATGTGTCCCCAGTAACACCTTGTTAAGATGGCAGTTATGATACCAGCTGATGTCTGCCTGACTTCAAACCCTCTGTTCCATTTGGGAGCAGGGTGAAGCCCTCGTGCCCAGCTGTCATTTCCCGTTTTAGTTTCCATGCACAGCCACCTCTTGGACTCTGTTCTTTGCTGGCTTCATGAATCCACTCTTCCTTTTGTTTGTATTACCACTGGACATCCCTCAGAGTCAGAAGAACTTAATATCTGCTTGCTTTCACTCCAGCCCTTCATGCTAACTGTAGATGACATGCCTAACTGGTAAAGCAAAGAGTGAGTGCCTGCTTAGTCGTGGCTCTGGGTCACAACCCTCCAGTGTGACTAACACTGAATGCTTTCCTTTTCTGATGATCAAAACTATGTGTGTCTTTCTTTCTGCATGACCTTAAGGGTGTCATCTCATGTCTTCTCAAGCCTTGAGTCTGAAGTTAATAGGTGGGCTGAATAATCTTCATGATGGCTCACATTTCAATTATTTGATAAATTGACCCTCTGTGAATTGATAGCCCATAAGTTACAGCCTACAGCCTTTCATCTGTAACCGTGCCAAGACCCTTTCATTAGTCAACTGAAATGATAATTCACTGCAGGGCATTAGACAGGCCCCAAAGGGTTAATATACCTCAAAATGGCCAAGAGAGAAGCAGGGTGTGTCTTCAGCTAAGGGGCAAGGTGGGCTTTTATTAATGTGAGTGATTGTATCTGTTCTTTATAATGCCTTCACTTCCAGAAGTGTTGACGACACTGTAGTAAAAAGGTGTTGAAGTCAGAAGTCTTAGCAAAGCTTAGCCACTCTCTTTTTAGGAGGCTGAGTTATCAGAGGACTCTGAAGGCATCTTCCAAGGCATTTCTCGAAGGTCCTTGCGTCCAGGCATTCTCACAGGGAGGTAGATGTGAACAATTTATCTGGCTCACCCAGCTCCTTGTCTAGTCTAAGGATTAACATGGTGATCATGGAGATGGACAGTATTTAAAGCTTGGCTCTGCTGCTTCTCGGTTTGGGGACCTTAGGTAAGTGATGTTACTCTTAGGCCCTCAGCATCTTTGTCTATGTAAAAGACCCCCTAATATCGCCTGAGCCATATGTGTCTTTGGAGTTAAACGAGAGAAGCCAATGCACTTTAGCCCAGTGTCCTGTTCATATTAACAATTAAGTAAGAGATGCCTAACCTAGTGGTTAGTAATTGTGACCAGAGTTTATCTTTGGGTGGCTTTTTTGACTCTTCCCTTGCAGTGGCACATTCGTTCCGCAGTAGCACTGAGAGACTCTAAGGGGTTCTTTTCTTTATGAATATGATATGTCGATCATGGTGCTGTTCGGTGGTGGCTGTAGGTTTTGTGTGACCATTCATTTCATAAATAGGTTCTGACTGGCCACAGTGTACACAGAAATAAATTAAAATGTGTCAACTGTGGCTGCTCTCTACTGCCTGTTTCCATCTTCCAGATGGTTCTCCAGGCCCGCCACTCCCCAGTGTTTGAAACTGTGACCCCCAAGTCTGTAGCCTTGTATCCATGTTGTTTTCATGGCAGAGCAAAAGCTATAGGCAGCTGTCCTTTTGCCTCCCCCATTACTGTGACCCTCATCCCTGTTCACTTCATGTGCTGCTGTATTGGCACATGCATGGCTGACATGCCTGAGCATTGCACACAGCGTTGCATCCTTACTGATGGCACACTTGCTTCCCGGGTGGCGTTTCACTTTGTTTTGTTAAAGGCAAAATGAAGCTAGAATACAGCAAAGCTTCTTGTTATGACCAATCATTTTTAATGTCATGATTTAGGTATTCTTTTCAAATTCTGTAGCGTCAGAGGGAAAAGCCTGGAGAAGTAATAAATGCAGTGTCTAAATAGAACTCTGTCCACCTCAGAATGATGTTAGCCTTCTGACTGCCAAGGTCGCCTACAATAGTCTCTCTTTGCTGCTAATCGGCCCCAGTACATGACATTCTCTTGGTCTTTCCATCATTATTCTCTACCTGCAATTAGCCAATCCTGGGCTTAGAAGCATATACTAGCTGATCAGGATCCCTCACTAAGCATTTCATGTAGACACAACCTCATCTGTCAAGACCACAAATCATCTGTGCAGGCGCTAAACAAGGGCTGTCATCCTGGACCACCCACTAACTCACATCTTTCAAACATCTGGTACAGTTCAGCCAGTCCTGGCCCACAGCCTCCCAGACCTGAAACCTTCAAGCTCCACCCAGATGCTTTCTACTATCCATATTCCATGAGCACACCTGACCCCCATCCTCTTCTTCTTACCTTCACTTTCCCCTCTTCTTCCTTCTGGGTTCTTTATGATGAACTTGCCACATCTGTATAGAACTCCATCATCACGAGGAAGTCCATATCCTCAACAATGGCACAGCCAGGAGAATTCATTCTCTTTTGGTATCCAGCCCTTCTTAATCAGACATGGACACCAGGGTTGTTTCCAGACTTCTTGATGATTAGAGAACCATGACCCTTAGCACAAGTGAAAAGACAAGGATCCTCTAAGACCAGGGCCAGTGCACCAGACCCACATCCATCCTCATATATAGAGCTGCTTCTCCAGAGGCCTGAAGCCTTGGGAAGAAATTATGAACACACTGCCTTCATCTTGAGTTCCATTCCCACCAGCAGAGTTGAAATGCAAGGATTTTAATTTTTAGACTGTAGTGAGTTGAAAGTGTCAGCACATCTGAATGCAGCCCAGCTCTGAGCATGCCCTTTGAATGGCCTCACAGAAACAAAGCTTGAAATCCCAAGCATTCGGCTGGCTGACCTTGGTGCTTCTAAGTACCAAGCAGTGATTATGTTGTTCAGAATCTTGCTCAAATTTGGGGGCAAAGAGGGGAGGGGCAAGGAAGAATCAATCTCTTAAATAAGTTGAGTCATTTCCCGAGAGAAAAAAAAAAAAGCCAGGCTTACTGGCAAACTAGGAGGCTATTTCGGCTGCAAAATGTAAGGAATTAAATGTTCCCAGGAACAAGAACTTTCAGATATGTAGCCAATAAATAACAAATACTAGATGACGTGCTAAATATAACAACCGTGTCTTTGGTGACGCAGGTTGATGTAAATGTCATCTTTGCCTGGGAAAAGACTGGGAATGATCAGACGGAATTTCCCCTCGGAATGTAAGAGCTAGAACCTGTGTTTATTTGATTATCAAAGTGACAGCTCCTTTATGAAGTCATAATAGACACATTAATAAGCCTGTTAGAGTTGAGTATTTCAACAAACAGCTGCTTTTCTTCATAGGTAATTTAGAAAATGTTAAATGAAGAATGTTTGCTGTCAGATGAGACACCTTGAGGATTTCCTGATCACTTTGAGATCTTAATAATTCCAGGCAAATAACATGTGTGGTGAGCCATGCTTAAGTTTTGCATTCTTTTTTTTTTTCTATTGTCACTTGTATTCAAGTCTCATCTAAAGAAAATGCACATAGAAATGGGTAGAGAGCAGCTAATCTAGATATCGAAGGCATCATATTTAGAACCTGGATCATTCATCACCGGCTTGTTGGCAATAGATGCTAATGGATTAGTGGCATACTTTGAATAAATTATTGACAGCAAGATTCTTGATCACAATAATAGCACTGTTATTGCTCCCAACAGAAATATAGTTACTTGTACTGGAACAGCACGTGTGACACTGTATATAAAGCAATGTGGTTGTTCTATTTTGCAAAAACCTTTTGACTTGTCTCTAGTAACAGTACCTATCTCTATTAGGGAACTGTGTTAGGATGTTGGGATCGCTAAACTATCCAAGTCTTAGCGCTAATAACATCTTAGGGCAGTGTCTGGCACATAGTGAATGCGAGAATGTTGAGACTTTTCTAATTCTGACTCTAGAGATCGTTACCTTCTTTTAGACTGTGTCTTCTACTGACCCTGGCTGATTATTAACTGTTTCACAAAGTCTTTTCCTACTTCACATTGAGAGCCAACTTCTTTGCACAGCTTGCATGCTGAAATGACTTTTCCTAAGAATATATTTGCTCTAAGTTCACCCATGTCTATTTGATGAGCAAAAAAAAAAAAAAAAAAAAAAAAACCCAAAAAACAAAAAACAAAACAACCTAGGATTTTACTCTAGTCAAGCAAATGTTACCACCCACTCACTATTCTCTATGCTTTCTGTCAGACCCATTTCCTACAAATAAAAACACTCTTGATTCTCAGTGCTTTTTCTCCCAGTATGCATCATCTTTTAAATGGTAGCAAATATTATCACCATCTGTTCAGCTGCCCAAACTAGAAATGGAAATCTCATCTTTGCCCTCTTCCCCCTTTTCCCACAACTTTCCCCACCCAAACCTTTACACTCATCCCAGCCACTGCCGCCTTTTTCTGGCACAAATAGGGTGGCTTTCTTCATGGCTTCTCTCCTTTCCATTTACCCTGTATTCGGATCTAGTACTTGACTCAGTAGTCAAAGTAGAAGTTTTGAAACAAAAATTAGATCATTCCTTATCCTAAATTAAGTCTCCTCAGAGATTTCCCATCATGTGCCGTATATAATTCAATCTCATTTTTCTGACCTACAAGCTCGGCTGGTGTAGCCCCGTGGAAGACTGCAGGGAGCCCTCTTCCAATCACTGCAGCTTATTTGTTTCTTAGACGTCGGCTCATGAATATTCATACACAGTACTTATATTTGTCATCACTTGAGCAACATTGAATTCCATTACTTGTCTATAAGCTCCCTGAGGTCAAGGACTATGTCAATTCTGTTATCACTGTATCTCCAGCATGTCCCATAATTTCTACCACATGGCATGTACGCAATAGATGTTTTTGTTCATTAAGCAAATGAATTTATCCCAAATTGTAATTATGACCTCATCTTTTCTTATTGAAGTAACATTTTAAAAATTATGAACTGGTGACTTACAATAGACATTATCTTTGTGCAAATCTTTACCCATTCTCAGAGACTGAAGTTCTAAGATCCTCGTCACAAGAAGCCTTTGAAAAAGATCCTCAGTACTCTACATGTACCCAAACTCTGTAGGTTAATTGTCACAGGTTTTGTTTGGATACAGACCTTCCAACTAGTCTCGCTCCTTCCAAATTGTAAAACATTACGATTTCCAAAATAGCTACTCCAAATCATATATATTCATGAATATTTCACATCTTAAAGTGAATAGTTAAAGCCAAATGTGTTAATATACATATTTTAAATTTCTCTACCAGCTGCAGTTGAAATTTTTATAGTGGTTTGTTTTAAACAGAAAAACATGTTTGGCACATTTATGAATGATGTAACTATGAAGATGTCTAGTAATAATGATAAAATTCGTATTAGGCTCCTTGTTTTACATGGAGCTGTTTGTCTATTAGGCATCAAAGGGCACTTTGGTAATTTAAGACAAAAAAAATAACAAAGTTATTGGGAGGAATAAGAAATGTGAAGTCGAGAGAAATGTAATGTGAAATCTGTTTTCATTGAGACTTTACCTTTTATTCTTCATTCTTAAATTTACTCCCCTCTAGAAAGCAAGGCTATTATAGTAGGAAATAAAATGTCTTTAAAGATCTGAGCCATTAGTTTCGGATGGCGATAGTAAGGACTCTGTAATTGCTAATGAGGCCTTGGATGTTGAATGTCTCAGTGCGTCCATTGGGGCCAGCCTCTTGCCTGTTCTACAAGAAGCTGTCACATCAAATTCTTGTCCAGGCTCCATGGGCACTTTGATTCCTAAACCTTTCTGAGAAACCTAATCTGAAATCAAAGTCAAGTTTCTTAGATGTGGTCAGACAAGGTCACATTTAAAACAGTCCAGTGAACTCACAGATCAAAGTTGAAAGGTAATGCCTCCCTCCTGAAGTTGGCACGGACTTACTCACCAGCTAACCTTTCAGTTTTTTTTTTTTTTCTTTCTTGCCTTTTTCACCTCTTTCCAATGGGCTGGGGAAATGAGAGCTTTTTCCCTTAAAGAAATAGCTTGAGAGTTTCCTTAAATATCGTCTTTAAAAAAATTGAACATGGCCATGTTGGCAGTGCACTTCATACCAATGAGTGAATCAGGAGACATTTTACTGAAGGTGTGTTTTACTGTTCTGTCGTGGGACTTCCCTCAGTTAAAAAAAACCATAATAATTTCAGGATCATGAGGTGGTTTTCAGGTTAAATTGTCATGATCTTCTCATGCTGCTGTAGCCACCAACATACCACACAGGGCTGCTGCTATAATGCATGGGCTTTTTTTTTTTTTTCCACCTTTCTTCCCTGTAAGGCTTTGAGTTACTCTCCAGAATGGCTCTGGAAAGAAGCAGGTAATGGTAACTCTCATTAGACGTGATCTTATCATCACTTTACACTTTTTGTGTGTTTTTTTTTTTTAAATCACAGTCACTATGATTAAAAAAACAACAACAACCTTGCCGTTGCTTTATATTGCAGTGTTCTGTCTCTTGTGGTCGAGGGCATAAACAACGAAATGTTTACTGCTTGGCCAAAGATGGAAGCCATTTAGAGAGTGATTACTGTAAGCACCTTACTAAGCCGCATGGGCACAGAAGGTGCCGAGGAGGACGCTGCCCCAGATGGAAGGCTGGCGCATGGAGTCAGGTGAGCACCGTTTCTCTACCCAAACGCTCCCTTCTGTTCCTCCCCATGCCTGACCCCAGCACAGTCAGTCACCTGTGTTTCTCTGCATTGTGTTCATTTTACAAACTAGCAGGACTCTTCACCTGGGCAGGCTGGGTGGCCTTGGACAAGCGACTTCAGTCACCAGCGACTTCAGTCAACTGAGCTTTGGCTTGTACCTAAGTGGCGCAGTTGTGAGGTTGAATCTTAGACGGTGATAGACAACAGATATCAAACACAAAGTAGCCCTTCGGTATCTGGCTGGTGGCCTTGTGTTATCATTCGCCACTTAGAAAAGCCCAGCTGAGATTGCACTGAGGTGAGCTCTTGTCACCTGACAGGAACTGAGGCTCAGTTTACCTTGGAGATTCTCAAAGAGAGTACTTTCTTATCACTGTCCTGGCATACCTAAGAGAAACAACCAGGAGGGTGTAGTTTGAATTACCATTTCAGAGGATATCCGTCTATCATGGATGGGAATGCTTGGCCCCTGGCACAGCACAGCCTGTGAGCCAGCCTTTGGGGGCACAGCTGTTCACATCTTGGCAAACCAGGAAGCAGAGAGACAGAGCTAAACGTGGGACCAATCTGTAACCCCCAAAGGCAACTTCCAATGACCTCTCTCCAGTAGTTACACCTCTCACCCCAAAGGTTCCACAGCCTCACAAAACAGCACCGCCATCTGTGAACTAAGATGAACCCGAGGGACAGTTCACCTTCAAACCATAGCAGTTGTCAGTATAAAATATCCTCTCTGCCTGTTTGCCTCTTTACAACTGAGATTGGGGACATGAAGGGAGAGTGTTCTATTATTTTGTAGCTGTGCAACATTGAGCGGTTTGTTTGACCTTCCTGAGCCTACTTCATGGGGTTCT